ATTTCTGCTAACATAAATTCAATTCTCATGCTTAATGGGATAAATTTCAAGGTTTGAAAAAAGAATATTTTAATTATTCTTGGCTGCATGGATCTAGACCTTGCATTAAGAACTGAACAACCCCAACCTCTCAATGCAAAAAACACTCCTGATGTGAAGGAGTATGAGAAATGGGAGCGTTCAAATCGCATGAGTCTAATGATCATTAAGCGCGGTGTTCCGGAAGCCTTCAGGGACATAGAATCCGAAGGGATTACTATGGCTAAAGATTTTCTTACCGAAATTGAGAAACGTTTTGCGAAAAACAATAAGGTAGAAAGAAGCACGTTTTTAGCTCACTTGATTTCAATGAAGTATAAGGGCAAGGAAAACATCAGGGAGTACATTATGGAAATGTCTCATATTGCTTCAAAACTTAAAGCACTCAAACTCGATCCTTGCGATGAGTTATTAGTGCATCTGGTTTTGTTGTCTCTTCCTGCACAATTTATTCAGTTTAAGATCAGTTATAACTGTCATAAGGAGAAATGGACTCTGAATGAGCTCATTTCATACTATGTGCATGAAGAAGACATGTTGAAGTAAGATAAGACTGAAAGTGCTCACTTGGCTCATGCCTCTAAGGATAAGGGCAAGAAAGAATGATAATGAAGTTGTTAAGGGTCTAGTTCAGAAGAAACAACATAAGGATAATCAGGGTTGTTTTTTTTTAACAAATCTGAACACATAAAGAAGGATATATTCCTTAATTTGATCTGTTCTGAGGTTAATTTAGCTTCAGTACCTTGAATCACTTGGTGAATAGACTCCTGTGCTACTACTCACATATGTGTTTCTATGCAAGGTTACCTGAGCTATTGAAAGCCAAGTGATGTTAAAAGATACATCTTTGTGGGCGACAGATAATCGATAGATGTTGAAGCAATTGGGCATTTTAGGTTGCTATTAAGAACTGGTTCATATTTGGATTTAAAAGATACTTTTATAGTACCGTCTTTTAGACGGAATTTGATTACTGTTTCTATATTGGACAAATCATGTTATTATTGTTCACTTGGAAACAATAAATTCAGGATATCTTTTAATTTAAATGTTGTGGAAACTGGTTACTTGAGTACTCATAACAACCTATATTTGCTTGATACAATTGCTTCTTATAATGAATCCTTGCACGTGGAATCATGTGGTACTAAGCATAAATTAAATAAGAAAAATATGACGATATTATGGCATAAACGCTTGGGTCATATCTCAAAAGGTAGAATTGAGCGTCTTGTGTCTGATGTCATTTTGGATTCCCTTGATTTTTCAGACACTGACGTATGTGTTGAATGTATCAAGGAAAAACAGACCAAAGTTAAGAGATTAGGTGTAAATAAATCATGACCCTTAAGGATATGGTAAGAAGGATGATTACTCATTCTTCTTTACCAGAGTCACTCTGGGGAGAAGCACTAAAGACAATAGCTTACATTCTGAACAAAGTACCAAGTAAAGCAGTTGCTAAAATACCTTATGAGCTTTGGACTTATCGAAATCCTAGTTTAAAGCATTTACATATTTAGAGATGTCCAGCTGAGACAAGACCTTATAGGCCAAATGAAAAAAAATTGGACTCCAAAACAGTTAGCAACTACTTTATTGGGTATTCTGAACGCTCTAAGGGATATAAGTTTTATGATCCCACACTCAGAAATATTTTTGAGACGAGAATAACAACATTCTTTAAGGATGTTGAGTTTGGGAGGAGAAATAAGGTTAGAGACATTGCTTTTGAGGAGGAATTGATTTTAGACCCAATCCGTACAGTTACTTTTGATAATATTCAGGTTCCTATACCTGTTGCTCAAAAAGTAAATCCAAAACCTCAAGATGACAATGTTGAATAACTCCCTGTTCCAGAAGAACAAACTCAACAACCTCATGAACAAGTGTCATTAAGGAGATCCATAAGAGAAAGGAGAAATGCTATTCCGGATGATTATATTGTATTTCTCTAAAAACATGAGGAAAGCAATGGAATATTGAAAGATGATCCAATCAACTTCCTTTAGGCCATGAAAAGTTCTAACTCTCAACAGTGAATTGATGCCATGAATGAAGAGTACAAGTTTATGCAAGACAATAAGGTTTAGAAACTTGTCCCATTACTAGAAGGTACAAAACCAATTGGTTTAAATGAATTTTAAAACCAAGCGGGATGCAAACGGTAATGTGGAGAGGTAAAAGACGCGTCTTGTAGCTAAAGGCTTTACTCAATAAGAAGACATTGATTATACAGAGACTTTCTCTTCGGCTTCATCGAAAGACACTTTTAGAACAATTATGGCGCTTGTTGCTCATTTTGATCTTGAGCTTCATCAGATGGATGTTAAGACTGTATTTCTCAATGACGACATTAATGAGATGATTTATATGATGTAACTAGAAAACTTTGTGTCAAGAGACCTGAATAATATGGTTAGCAAATTATGAAAATCCATCTATGGACTCAAGCAAGTTCCTCGTAAATGGTATTATAACTTTCAACAATATTTATCTCGTTTGGTTTTGAGATGAATATTATTGATAATTGTGAATATCACAAGTTCAGTAGGAGTAAGTATATTTTTCTGATTCTGTATGTCGATGACATATTACTTGTCACTAATGATATAGGCATATTGTACGATACCAAGAGATTTCTTTCAAAGAATTTGAGATGATAGATCTTGGGGATGTCTCTTTTATATCAGAAATCCAGATACATCGAGATCGTTCTCGAGGTATACTTGGATTATAATAAAAGAACTATATCGATAAAGTACTCTTAAGATTTGGCATGCAAGAGTGCAAATCAGGTAACACCCCTGTTGCTAAAGGAGACAAGTTTAGTCTCAATCAGTGCCCTAAAGGCAACCTTTAAAATTCAGAAAATACAGAAGACTCCTTATGCTTCGGCTGAAGGAAGTCTAATGTATGCTCAGGTGTGTACGCGTCCGGATATTACGTACACTGTTGGTATGTTAGGCAGATACTTAAGCAACCTTGATATAGAGAGCAGTCTAGAGGGTTATGAGGTATCTTCAGAAAACAAAAGATCACATGCTTACATACAGAAAATCAGAATTGGAGATCATTGAGTACTCTGATTCTGATTTTGCTGGATGCCAAAATAACAGAAAGTCTACATCAGGCTACATTTATATGTTAACAGGAGGAGCTATATCATAGAAAAGTATCAAACAGACACTCGTAGCTTTCTCCACTATGACAGCAGAATTTATAGCTTGCTATGAGGCATCCAACCAGGGAATATGACTGCGAAATTTTGTCACGGGACTAGCATTTTGAAAAATATGGAAAGACCACTTAAGTTGTATTGTGATAATAATTCAGCAGTTATGTATTCCGATAATAACATAAGCTCAATTAAGTTAAAACATATTGACATTAAGCTCATAGTTGTGGAAGAAAGGGTGCAGAATGAACAAATATCCATAGAGCACATTGGACAAACTCCATGATAATTGATTCTTTTACTAAAGGATTGCCACCTAAGGTCTTTTATGAGCATATTACTCATATGGGTGTGGCATTATTTGAAGATATCATGATTTAGTGGGAGTTTGTGATTTTGGTACTTTATGTTTGGTTATATTGTCTGATCAGAATAAGGTATTCAGTTAAGACACTCTGTTACATTATGTTTGGTTTTGACCTCACTAAAGTTTAAGGCAGGACCAGTTGAAAATAGACATGTACTGTTCACATTGCATGTAATTTTTATGTTGCACAACCATGATTGATCTATGTCGTTTGATTGTATTGGTATATGTGACCATTGATGGATTTAGTTACGATAAATGTGACGAAGGCCGCTTTGATCCTATATTAATATACTCAATAGACGAGATTGTTCGGAAATACCCTTATTTATGATCGCAAATTTTGAGCTCATAAGGTTATACACACTTTAAGGAAACAAATGGTGCCCAAGTAGGAGATTGTTGGATTTAAATCTAATTAAATCTTTACAGCTGACCCACATAAAGTGATCAATCAAGTAATTGGGTCAATGGGTATTTAAATATGTCATGGGCTAATTGTACAGATACCAGCTTGTAATTCTAATTTAATGAGGGGCTAAATTAGAAAACTATAAGTCTATATAAAGGGGTTATGGTCTCTAATCTTAGGGTTAAATTTTCTATTCTCTCCACCCCCATCTAAAGAGAATTCTCAAGAAAGAACCCTAAAGGTTAGAAGGTCCAAAACCCATTTTTCAGATCCGTGCAAATCATCATGGATTAAGGTATGCTTCCGCTCTCATGTTAATCTCTATGAATTAATCACAATTAATTCTAACATTTGAGAGATTGCAGAAATCTACCTCCCAAAGCACAGAAATTTTTTTTTGTATGTTGGGCTAACAATCTTTTTAGTCATACATTGTTGAACAGATGTTTCCAAGATAGCTATAAAACCAGGCTAATGCACGTGAGTGGACGTCAAGAATTGTTTATTGATAAATAACTAATATAAAGACGGATTTTTAAACAACAATATGATTACTAGAATCATTAAACAGTTCTATCATAATGTTACATAATCCAATGAAATATAAAATTTCTCCTTTCAAAGTTGGAGCTGAGCTCTAATAGATGGACAAACTGCAAAGGTTGCAACCCTCTTATTATCTCTAACAACAAATAGAGTGATGAAAACCCATCAGTTCCCAAACTAAGAATCTGAAAGCTCAAGATAGTGATGACAAGACCTTCAATCCCAAATTAATGCTCACGGTGTATGAAACTAATACCAGTGCAAAAAAGCATCTAGAAACAAACCACTCGCATTGCAATTCTTTCAACGTAACGAAAAACAACTAACAAAAAAATTCTAGGAATGTAGACCTAAAAGAATTTAAGAAACAATACCATTTATCTCAAATCTACAAGATCACTTCAGTCACATAAATTGTCATGTAATGTTAGTTAAGGCGGTCAAGAATAGAGTACCTGTAGCTGCGCTATTTGTGTGCTTCCTTGATATCAAATTTGGTACAATCCTACCAAGCCCAGTTGACAATACCTAACACAACCAAAATATAAATTAGGTTCATCCAATAAGGATGAAGCAAAACACTATACATATTGTGTTATAATAACTATCAAGTAACGTAGACTTCAAATCTTATAGCCTAAATTTCTTTGCTAGCAAAAGGAGAATGAAGAACAAGTCCTTAAACTCAGTTCCCTTGCACTTTCCTCATGTATTATAGCCGCAAAAGGTAAATTTAGGGAAGTTTCCAAGATCTTACTGTCATCACAACGAGTGCACTAAGGGCACCAGACAGAACAGTCGATTTCGGATGCCGCATTGCCATAAGAGCCGCAATTATAAAAGTCTCATCTCCAATCTAGATACCAAGCAACAACAAATAGGAGCATTCACATTGTATATAAATCAATATCAACCACAACTGGAAAATAAAAATAAAAATCAGAGAGCTGTATTGAGCTTCACCTCACTGACTAAAATCATTGAGAAACTTGCAAAGAATGCATCGAAAATCCCTAGACCAGTTTCTCCCAAATCAAGAACGCTTTCTTTACTCTTAGAAACTTTCTTCTTCACCGCATGTAGAAACATCTGTTGACAGCAAAGTCAAAACAGAACAAAACTTATTTTTGGGGGAAGTTTTCATGATCTCAGAAGAAAACTAAATAAAGAATCTCCTCACTTTCGTGCGGCGATCTAAAGGCCTCGTCGTCGACTCCACCGAGGCATTCTCAGCGGTCTCAAGCTCCAAACCCTAGCAGATCGAATCAATAACATTCTTTTTCTTTTTTCTGAAAATTATCGAAAATGAAAGAAAGAGATTAGAGATTTCACCTGAGACGATGCAGAGACGACGAGGATGAGGAGAAAGAAGGCGACATGAAGGAATCTGAATCTCGAATCAGCGACAGTGAGATCCATGGCTGAGGATCTCAAACCCTAAAATCGAACAATCTTAGGACTTCAGATCCTTCGAAATTGAGACGAGATTGAATTACGTTTTTCTCCCAGCGATCGAAATTCTAAAGAAAAGATCCCATCTCGATTCTGGATGTTTAATTAATATTTTGTTTTAGTAATTGAATTCTAAATTATTACTATTATTGCAGAGGGAGCGAAGTGCGCCAAAGCGCGTGGATTAAAACTTAGAAACTCCGCATTTTCGCTACTTTTGAGCTGTGTCACTGATAACTCGGCTTGATATCATGGCCGGCTTGATTTTTAGCCGTAGTTATACTTCATTGTTTTGGGCCTATTATCATAATTTTAAGCTCCAGGCAATAAGCTTTCAAATGTTTTAATGGGCCTATAGTTGATATTAACTGGAAAATATTTGGTTGGGCCATTAATCCCATTTGATAATTACTAGGATTTCATTTGGCACGCGGACCAAGCTTAGATTTAAGGTGTAATTCAACCTGTATTTATCATATCATATTATATCATATCTATCTAATCAAATCTAATCATATCACGTTCCCTTTAAAATTGTGAGTATAAGTAAAACTTTTAGCGGAGGATGTTGCTTTTAACCTTTTCAAATATTAGACTGTTATCTTATTTCTTGTTCCTAATTCTAATTAATAGAATCCATTTTCCAAATATCACACCCCTCATAAACTCTAAAAATCCTTCACTGACATCAATGGAGGAAGAAGTCCAAATCCTAAACTTCTAGTATCAAAAAATCAACAAGATCAACTCAAAAGCCCTACATCAAATCTCTCTCTTCACTAATCTCTTCCTCGCTTCTTTCACTAAAAAGTGCTAGAAACGCCATATTGGAAAGAAGAGGCAGATTATAAAGATCAATCATTTACGATTTGCAGTTCGACCGCACACTTCGACCTTAGATTTTCTAATTCATTGTCTTCCTATTACTCATTTGTTTTCTATTGTTTGAACATTTCTACCGATTTGTTGTCACTAGTAAAAAAATAAAGATCCTATCAAACTAGACCAAAAAATTTTATCTAGTTTGAGTCAAATTAGATGGAAATATTTCCGTTTAGAAAATTCCATCTAGGTTGCCCCAACCTAGATGGAATTTTCCGTCTAGGTTGGCAACCTAGACGACAATTGTTTAAAAAATATTGGGCCCAGCATGAGAGATGGAAATTTATGTCTAGGATGCCTAGGCTAGGGCCCACCTCAAAAATAAAAAACTCTAGTCCTAATTTGTATGTCGCTCCAACTCTATCGCCGCTCATGACCGCTTGGTAATCTCGATCGCCAAGTTTGTCACTGCTCTCGAGCCCACCACCCATTGCCGCCCGCTTGCCGCTATTGACCCTGCTGTCATTGTATACCTGCCACCCCACGTTGTCGTTGTCGCCGAGTTGCAGCTCTACGCCGCGCCCCATGCGGCTACCTCCTTAGTCCCCAAATTTCTATTAAGGTGTGTATTTTCATGAAATATTTCATTTTTAAATTTTTGCAGTTTATTGTTTAATTTTACCAAATACCCTAAATTCTAACCCAAATGGAAGAGTTTCCCAAGAATTTTTTTTCAACTATTAACCCTAATTTTAAACACTAATTTGACACTATTTTGCCATATTTAAACAACACTTATAATCAATTCTAAACCTTAAATTAACTACACTTTTAAGCTAATTAAATAATAATTTTAATATTAAACTTAATTTAACTACAGTTTTAACAAATCTATTAATCAATTCTAACCTTAAATGTAATTATTCCTAAATCAAATTATATTAGTTACCATAATAACACAAATAACACTAGCAATACTAACTTTAAGATCGTCACCGGAATCGTGATAGTCAATGTACACTAATTTTCATGTGTATTATGAAAATGTGTGATTTTATAGGTTTGTGATTTGAAAATGTGTGTTTTATCAAATAAAAGTTTTTCAAAAATAGAGTGATATATAACGCAATATGTTATAATAATGTGTTATATATCCAATTTAGGTGAATAAAAAATATAATGTTATCCCTAGACTCCTATTCAATAATTACATCCAATTCTTTGGACTTATATTATAAGATAAAATGACTCATATTTGGGTAGGAAATTAAGTTTTTCACTCAAAAATGATCGTTTACTTTATAAGTAGAAAGAATTGGTACTAAAATTCATAATTATTGCATCTTTCTAGTTCGGATAGGTTAGGAATATAGTAGTGCATATATCCAAATTTGTATACTTTATATGTTTTTATTTCTTGGAAATTTTGGCAGCACGTACTTGTTCTCCGTATACAATAAACGTATGTTATTCTATGCTTCGGTCTATTGCCAATACGCATAATAACAGCCGCACAGTGTATAGGGAGAACAATGGGTAGGTGCTGCCGAAAATTTTAAGAAATGAAAACATACAAAGTATGTGAAGTTGGATGTAAGCACTACTATATTCTTAATATGATAGAAAACTTCCTATGAGAGCCACTAGAGTGTTCTAATCAATCTATATATGATTATGTTTTAATTTAAAAGGAAATTTTTTTGTTAATACATTTGTGTAATTATTAAGTGTGTTGTATGTATATTGTCATGAAGAGTCATAAATTTACTAGTAGAAATGAGATTAATTATAGTTAATAATTATATATAATCTACAGATGAGGATAATTCTAGACAAGTCGTGGATAGATATTCCTCGACTTAAAAGATATCATGACACGCGATATAACGAGGGATTGATGCCTTTATGCGGGATGCAAAAATAAATCCAAAGAATTTAAGTAGTGGCGCTATGTATTGTCTCTGTTGTAGGTGTAGGAATATGAAATTGCAAAATAGAAATGATATACGAATCCACCTAATAAATTCAGGGTTTAATGAGAAATATAAATATTAGTCCAAGTAGTTGAATATGATATCAATGATAATGTTGAAGATGATATTGGAGATGACATTGAAGATGATATTAAAGATGATGCTGAAGAGGTTAGCGATGTTGAAGGTGCAGAAAAATTTAAAGATGTGCATGCTTCTGCAGACATAAAGCGAATAATAAAGCTACTTGGACCTATTGTTTCAGGTTCTCTTTAAATTGCAATTGACATAGATTACAATAAAAGGAATGCAATGAAACAAAGAAAAATTTATATTTGCTAGGGTTCTTTTTTGTACTGATAGAGCGTCGATCTTGTACTCTATTGATGTTCTAACTAAGTCGATGGGTCTTTCACTGATTGATGATCTCTAATCTCTCAAAAGATAGCACAGTCTTCTCTGGATAAAGAGATATTAATAGGTCCTTTCTCATAAGAACTGTTGATTAAGCTAGATGAACAGTTGAAGAGAATGAATCCTTTCTCACAAGGATCGTTGATCGAGCTAAATGGTTAGCTGATTATAATGATCTATGAAGATCAATGAGTATGAAGGGGAGATGGACTTTTTGTCAATGTAGTCTCTCTCTCTCTCTCTCTCTCTCTCTCTCTCTCTCTCTCTCTCTCTCACACTCTAATGGCAAAGTCTAGCCAAGAAAATGTTAGTCACAACACCTTTCGTTCACCTTTGTGCCTTCATGTGCCACCTTGAATAAATGATCTTCTCTCCTTTTATATGCTAAAATAGAAAGTTAATGGCCCCTTAATTATGGATTAAGTGGCCATTAAAGTAGGAGATAATGGGGAGTGGTTATTTCCCAAAAATAGCTCCTAGAACAGCTATCTGGCAAGCCTTATGGGCTTGGTGAAGTTCGCTAAAGACGTGGACGGATGTCGCTGAAGTCATGAGCTAGGGTCATGGGTGAGTCTTCTTTAGAAGTGGATGTCTTGGTCCACTTGAGTTGATGTGGGCGGAGTTTATTTGTTGGCAAATTTCACCCATGAGTTTTGAACCCAATTGGTTAACATTACACCTACGTCGGAAGTTCTATTTGACACATTAATATTGCACCTCTGAACAGTACTATTTCAATGAACTTTTTTATTCCATTATTTTCCTTCCCAACAAAGATATAAGTACGACATGTTAACATTATACCTCTATCGTATACATACCAAAATAGCAAAAGTTCTTTTATTATTAAAAGTTCTAATATTACAAAAATTCTAAAGGGAATACATATAAAAAGATTGCATTCGAGCAATACATCCGGCTATCTTGGAATTCCTATCCTCTCTCTCTCTCTCTCTCTCTCTCTCTCTCTCTCTCTCTCTCTCTCTCTCTCTCTCTCTCTCTCACACTCTAATGGCAAAGTCTAGCCAAGAAAATGTTAGTCACAACACCTTTCGTTCACCTTTGTGCCTTCATGTGCCACCTTGAATAAATGATCTTCTCTCCTTTTATATGCTAAAATAGAAAGTTAATGGCCCCTTAATTATGGATTAAGTGGCCATTAAAGTAGGAGATAATGGGGAGTGGTTATTTCCCAAAAATAGCTCCTAGAACAGCTATCTGGCAAGCCTTATGGGCTTGGTGAAGTTCGCTAAAGACGTGGACGGATGTCGCTGAAGTCATGAGCTAGGGTCATGGGTGAGTCTTCTTTAGAAGTGGATGTCTTGGTCCACTTGAGTTGATGTGGGCGGAGTTTATTTGTTGGCAAATTTCACCCATGAGTTTTGAACCCAATTGGTTAACATTACACCTACGTCGGAAGTTCTATTTGACACATTAATATTGCACCTCTGAACAGTACTATTTCAATGAACTTTTTTATTCCATTATTTTCCTTCCCAACAAAGATATAAGTACGACATGTTAACATTATACCTCTATCGTATACATACCAAAATAGCAAAAGTTCTTTTATTATTAAAAGTTCTAATATTACAAAAATTCTAAAGGGAATACATATAAAAAGATTGCATTCGAGCAATACATCCGGCTATCTTGGAATTCCTATCTTCAAGAGCATTTTTCTAGGCTCTCTCCCTCAAAGTCCTAGAATCAATAGGAGCAGCTTGAACTCTAACAGCCTCCAGTTTGTTCGTCTCAGCTTGAAGTTGAGTAGCCTTGAGATCACACGCCCTAACCAATTCAGCTAACTTGGATTTAAGCTCATCCTTCTGCTGTTGAGCTGCTTCGAACCGAGCTTGAGCTGCGACAATGGCCATCTTAGCCTCATTGATGGTGGTATCCCTCTTAAGAATAGTGTCATTAAGCTCCATCTGATTACAATCAACAAATGCAAGGTTGTCATTCACTTCTTGAAGCCTCCTATTGATCCATTCCATCTTTT